GCTAATGTTTCACATAAATTTTTCTACAACCTTGTACTCAAAATGGATCAAATGTTGTGTGCATACCTATTTTACTTTGAGTGCATAGCTCCCTCCTCTAAAGGATCACAAGTTTTGTTGATGCTAGAAATTGGCTCGATGTAGTTTTACTTTTTTCTTGTTTGAGTTCAACCTGTGACAGGCAAGTCTTATTTCTTAGGGAAAGTTTCAAAAGTTAAGTTATTAAACTTTTTAGAGAGATAAAATTATGAGAATTAGCTTTCCAACCCTCTAAAAAAAAAATTTAGTATGTATAGAAAAGTTGACTTCATCCTCCTATCATGACCTCAGATAGACCTTGGACCTTAATGGATTTTTGTACACCTGGTGCCTCTCTCCCTTCTGAGCTGAAGTCAAACTTTACACCAGGGCTTGAATGTTTCGGTCTAGGCCCGATACTTGGGCCTAGTATTTGTCAATTCTACTGCTACATATCCAAAAGAAGGCTGTGTTTTCTTCTTCCTTCCTTGTATGTTCCTGGTTGGTGTAGGAACCTTAAAATCCAATTTAGTCAAGTCAACGGAATTGACGGTAGGAATAAATTCACAAACCTTTTGAATGTTTATGAGAATTTCATATAGCTCCCCTTTATGTTTTCAAAATTGCACTTATTTCTCTTATCTTGATGTTTGTTAAACAATTTATTACATCCCCATGGTAGAGAAATATCAGACAACATAAACCCATGAGTGCGACTTTTTTCTTTTATCTTCTTGCTTTACTTTTATTGTTCTTATTTCCCGGTTACCATTTACAAATTTGTCGTCCCGATTTTTTGCTTCATTTTTATGTTGCTATAATGAATAAGATAACGGTTACTTGTTGCATATGAAATCCATTTGCATGTCTCTTCTTCCTCTTTTTTTTTTTTTTTTATCAATCATCACTTTATCTATAGTATCCTGCATTATTCTGATCTAAGAGGGAGACCCAACCGAGTCTAAGGGATCGGTAGAGACTGAACCACCACCGAACCAGACAGGTATATTATGCGTCTATCTGAATTTTTTAAGAAACCACTTAATATGACAATTTGAACCCTTGCCTCCCACTCCACCAAACTTTTAATAGTTTAGTGGTGGCCACTAGTCCAAAGGCTGGTGATTATTCGTATGTCCCTTTCGGTATAACAAAGTTTGTACATCCTTCGGTATCATAAATACAAGAAATGGAAATTTTATAAATCCGAGAGGGACATGCTAAGAAATTAGGTGTCAAGTTTCACAAGAGGGCAATGCATGCCATTAAAAAATCTACTCCAAAATTATTTGCAAGATACGGTCAATTTGGTCGACTATCAACAATTTAAGAAACCATTAATAACAAATATTGACAGTTTAACAAGTAGTTAACACTGATTGCTTAAGCTGATAGTGATAACCACACAACTTATTGGACCGGGGCAAGACCAATAAAAGAGGTTAGAATGGACCCTGAAATTTAAAGTTGTGTTTTAGCATCGTATTCTAGTAGTATTTACCCTCATTTAGGCACCTAAAAACTTTTTAAACTACATTATGCTACATCAAATGTAAAAAAAAAAAAAAATGAAATATTGTATGGCTGAGTTGACTATAAGTCAACGGCTATCAGCCTAGCAATCTACTAAATAAATACCGACCCTTTCCCATGCTGGTAGAAGTTACCAGGAAAATGGCAGCTGAATAGATTGACCGGTTCGGTCACGGAGCATTGTCCAATTGTATGGCTGAGTTGACTATAAGTCAACGGCTTATCAGCCTAGCAATCTACTAAATAAATACCGACCTTTTCCCATGCTGGCAGAAGCTACCAGGAAATGGCAGCTGAATAGATTGACAGGCTTGGTCACGGAGCATGGTCCAATTGTATGGCTGAGTTGACTGTAAGTCAACCGCTTATCAGCCTAGCACGGTCCAACTGTAAATTTTGGTTTCGAGAAGTGGAGTCTATGTAGGACTTTTTTTTAAAAAAAATTTTTCTGATAGAGGAGAGGTAGAATTTAAAAACCGGGTAGGTGATGGGACTAGACGGGAGATTTAAAGAGCGAAGACAGGAACAGAGGAGGAATAGAAAGAGAAGTGAGATATAAGATGCGCGAAGGAAATAGAAGGATTAGAACTAAGAGGTTCTAATTCGCAGAATCTCAACTTCAACCATTAGATTAAGGCCCGCTTAAGACATTAGACTAAGACCTCTTCGACCACGGGTGTCACGCCTCCAATTTGAGTCTCTGAACTGGATTTGCAATGTGGCACGCCGTATCTACAAGACTTTACTCCCGTGAATGCAAAGTATCATAGTCATAACTTACAAAATTTCACTAAAATTTAAAACTTACAAGTACTAATGAAATACATACACTTCACTAAATTGCATCTACACAGTGCTTTACTCTAGCTTCCTAGAATTTAAACATTTACTTATTTACCTCTTTTACTCATCTTCTAAACGTACACGAATTGGCATTCTTGATTTGCAAGAAAAATAAAGAGACGGGGGTTGAGTGACGTACGCCCAGTAGATAGTACTTACTCCCCTGTCGGATCATGTAGCTATACACATATTATATACATTTGCAAATTTGATTACACCATATCACATGTATACATGAATTAAAAACATTTGTCATCACATTTCAAATATTATATAAATATATTTCATTGAAGGCGAGTTGCATGCACATAAGTGGCCTCCTTCCGACATGGCACTTAGTCCTGCAGGTTCTAGAAGTGGCTCAAGCCGAATGTGGCATGAAAACACATATAACATGACATGATCGTATTTATTGAATATACTTGCAAATCATAAAACATATCAATCATGTCATCTCATTTCATAAACATGGCTCATAAAGAAGTACATGTAATATCCGACTTCTGAATATTCAACCTAGAGATTGAATCTCTTTTAGGAGGGTGATTAAAAGGTTTCATGATTATCCCTTGATCACATAACATAATATAAGTCAATCGGTTAGACTTTATGCCGACTCTCATGACTAACATAATATAACATATTAGGACTATAACCCCTACTGTTTATTTCATGACCATTAGAGATTTTCGTAACATAAAATCATTTCACACGTCACATGTACATTTCTTTCGTTTCATAAAAATATGCCACTCATTTCATAAAATATTGCATAGCAAAATATTTCAAATATTTGTAATTTCATGCTTGCAAAACATTTGAAATAGGCATGCATAATCCATTTCTTTCGATATCAAAATAAAGCTCTTACTTGAAACATATTCATATTTAGCATTTTGAAAATACAGAGGGGTAAACACCACCTACCTCAATCTACTCGATTGAAGAGATTCTTAACGTGTTTGTGAACTCGCTCCAAACCTATAACCGTTGACATACACATCCTAATTAGTTCATATGTCTTGTTCTTAAAGTGCTTAATTCTATGTTAAATAACCCCCCAAAAATATGTTTGGATTGTGTCTAAACTGTACTCATATAGTTTCCCAAAATAAAAGATTTTTCGCTTTGAAATGTTTGCTAATTTAGAGAGTTTCCCATTTTCGAGCGTGTCCCCATTTTAGAAAGTCTCTTAATTTGATTGTTCTTAAAGTATATGTTATTTATTTATTTATCTACTTAATTAATTAATTAATTAATTAATTAACTTATTTATATTTATTTACGTTCATAGAAATGGCCTGCATTAGATTGGGTCGAATTTGAATTTGGAGTTTGATCTAGAGTTAAACCCACTAATGAAAAAGCTTTGTTTATTTTTATATTTGGATTAACAATTTTTACTTTTGTTATTAAAAGAGTTCTTGGATTCATTTAGGTCAAAAGGAACCTTTATAATAAGGTTGACTTTATTAAAAAAACATACTAGGTTTGATCAAATTATACTTATTATAATTGTGTCATTTTTAAAACAACTTATTTTCAGTTTAAGAAAAAATGTTATTTAATCTGCAACTGGTCCAACTCCAAAACTTTTGAGGCACAATGGAATTTTTTTTCCCAAACTCTAGTTTAAGTTTCCATGTCTGGATTCTATGTACTCCAGCCACGAAACATTATGGAATTATCAGGCTATGTCTCTAAATTCATACAAGAAAAGCTAGCGGTACTCCTCTGTATCTATTCCTTATCTTCTCGGGTTCTTAGTTCAAGCAAGTCCAAGTTTAATAGTAGCAGTATCGGATTTAATAAGGAGAGCCCAGTGACTTGCCAATTCCGAAATTTCAACAACTAAACCTATCAAAATTGATCAAACTTTTACTCTAATTCCATCAAAAAACTAACTCTCTCTCTTTCTGTTCTTTGACGTGAAAGGTGGAAAGTGATAAGAGTTCCAGAATTATAAATGTTACCGGACATTGTTTGAAAAGGAATTTTTCATCAAAAAAAAAAAAAATTCTTTATATTTTTCATGAACACATTTTTTAATCATCTTTTTATTTCACATATATCACATCACTCGCTCGATGACTTGTAGCATAACTGTTCCAATTTCCCACCGCTGAAGTTAACTTCCAATTTCCTTCTTTTTCTCCTATCATGTCTACGTGACAATCAGCATATATGGTGTCTGCCAAACGGAAAAAGAAAATAAAAAAAATAAAAAAGTAGAAATATGTTAGGGTGGTTAGTTATGTTATACAGATCGTGAGTTAAATATCCACTCCCACAATCCCTTGGTAGAACATTTAAGATAAAATCCCTGAGGAGATAAATGAAGTAGTCACACTACTAGTAAAATAATTAATAATATTAGTCGATTAAATATTTTTAAGCAGAGGGAAATATTGAAAATGTCGGGGTTTCACAACAGGACTATTATTTTGGTGTATACGTACAATATTTTGTTGTACATGTACAAGTTTGGAATGAATTTTGTTGGTCTAAATCAAATATTGCAAGAAGTATAATAATTTGTGTAACTTTATGGAAAATATTATAAGATGTACCAAAATTTCAATTAGATCATCTAGTCAACACTAAGACTTGAGGCGGCCTGACGGAGGGAGTCAACCCTCTTCTAGCGTCAAATAAATATGTTGCTCTACCTACAGAGATGTCTATTCATCCCTATGGCCAAATTGGTACTCAAATTCTTGACAATTGTAATATTATTTCAGGCTGGAAATGGCGACATGCTTCGGCCGGTCAATAATATCACCTTAGGGTCAAGGCTCTACCCTCAAAACAATCCTTATTGGGTTTCCCCTTCCCGCATATTTGCATTTGGTTTCTACGAGAAAGGTGATGGATTTGCAGTTGGCATATGGCCGCTGGCTGTTGGTCCTGAACGCATTGTTACATGGACTGCAAATAGAGATGATCCACCTATCTCTTCAAACGCCTATCTGGAGTTGACAGAGGAAGGTAAGCTTCTTGTTCGGACAACAGACACTGCCTCTGGATTCATCCCAATTGTTTACAACTTGCAAGCACCTGCAACTTCAGCTTCATTGCTTGATTCTGGGAACTTTGTTCTCTCTGATGGTGATAATGTCATATGGAATAGCTTTGACTATCCAACAGACACCATATTAGGGGGTCAAACACTTCTGTCGGGCGAGAGCCTAATCTCTAGTGTATCAGTGGCAGATAGATCAAGTGGAAGGTTTAAACTGGTTCTCCAGCACGATGGTAAACTGGCGGCGTATCCAGTGAGCGGTACAGGAGCGCCTGATGAGGCTTACTGGTCATACAACGCTGGACTTGAATTTCATGGTTTGTCTCTAGTTCTCACAGAAACAGGCCTTCTTTACTTGGATCCAACCTTTGATCTTAGTAATGACAGCATAGCGCAGGGCTTGAATGTTTCTGAAAGTAGCGAAACAATGATTTACCGAGCAACCCTTGATGCTGATGGCAATTTCAGGCTGTATGCGCACATATTAAGTAACTCAAGCATGATGACCCTATGGTCGGCATTGATGCCATTTGATCCCTGTAAAGTAAAAGGATTTTGTGGCCTTAACAGCTATTGCTCAGCTAATGCCAGCAAAGGCAACGCTACTTGCATCTGCTTTCCTGGCTTTATCTACCATGATCCGGATCCTGATAAGAAATTCCTGGGATGCTACAGAAACTTCAGTTATGAAAGAATATGTGGAATTAGGGAAGATGATTCTTTGTCCAACAAATATTACTTAATCCCGATAAAAAACATGGAAATCAGGGGCGATCCATATGTTAGTATTCCAATGGTTCAGGGGGACTGTTGCAAGTCTTGCATAAGTGATTGCAATTGCTGGGCTGTTCTACACGCAAGTGGTAATTGCAGCAAGTACAAGCCTCCTCTCCTGTATGCAGCCCAAGATCAGAACCATTCAGGGGTAGCTTTCATCAAGCAGAGTCACAACAGTTTCCAATCTGCAGAGCCAAAAGGTAAACACAGGAGGAGAATGGTTCAAATTCTTGCACCTCCATTTGGCTTCCTATCATTTATATTTACTCTGCTTGCAGTCTTGAGCTACTCAATGTACAGAAGGAGAGCTCTTAAATACCAGAAGCTCTTAAAAATGGAAAACTTCGGCCTAAATAAGGAGTTTACTCTTCGGTCATTCTCCTATAATGAGCTCGAGAAAGCTACAAATGGATTCAAAGAGGAGATAGGGTGCACTTCCTATGGGAAGATTTATGGAGGAATCATATCTCAAGGCGATAGAATTGTTGCTGTAAAGAGACTAGAAAAAGTTGACGACGAAGGAGAGAGGGAATTCATAGCTGAAATGGCTGCTATGGGGCGAATTCATCACAAGAATGTTGTTCAACTAGTGGGCTTCTGCTTGGAGGGTGCTAAAAAGCTCCTTGTATATGACTTTACGAAAACCAGATCACTGGCAGAATGTCTCTCTGATGTCGAAAAAAGACCCTTTTGGAACCAAAGAATGAAACTTGCATTCGACATAGCTCAAGGGATTCTTTATTTGCACCAGGAATGTGATACACATATCATCCACTGCAATATTAGGCCGGAAAATATACTAGTGGGTGACAATTGGACAGCTAAAATAGCTAATTTCAGTTCTGCAAAGCTTCTAATTCCATATCAAAAGCAAACTCTGGCCTTGGAGAGACAGAGAAGAGGATACTCGGCGCCAGAATGGCAGAAGAAAGCCTCTGCATCAGAGAAGGTAGATGTTTATAGCTATGGAGTTGTGCTGTTGGAAATAATTTGTTGCAACACTACTGAGGAAATTAATGTTCAAAGCCCAGATAATGACTTTTCTACTAGGGTGTACAATTATTTTATGGGCAAACAATTGAGAAAGCTCATTGGAGATGAAGAGGTAGATATGGACTCACTGGAGAGAATGGTTAAGGTTGGATTGTGTTGCATTCATCATGATCCTGATCTGAGGCCATCCATGAAAAATGTGATTCTGATGTTAGAAGGTGCCATTGATACACCAGCTCCCCTTTGTCCAATCTAGTGGTAGGTAGCTTGTATTGCAGACTAGACCAAGATTTTTTTTTCCTTTTTCCTTATGTTTTTTTCAATGTCTTTACGCCTTTTTTTTTTTGCCAACGTCTTTATGTAAAATTGCATATAATTTACCTTAGTAAAAGTTTCCTGTTATATGTGAATGTAAGCAAGTTGTAATAGTCCACAAAGTTTAAATTTATGAAGATTACTTTCTTTCATTATTAATTTAGCTTGCGATAAGCTTCAAACAATTCCTTTTGGATTTGAGGGCACAAGGGGTTGGAATCCTCAGTTTTTAGTGCTGTTGGCTCCGAACTTCAGAAGTAGCAATTATATATTTCCACGACCAAACTTATTGAATGAATTATGGACGTAGGTTTCAAGTGGTTGCTGGTTGGGAGTTGGGACTATGACAGCAATAAATAGTAAAAGGGCGTACAAATATGAAGTGCTTTTAGGGGTATAGAAAAAAATTTCTTTGTCGTTGTTTTTTTTTTCGTCTTATCTCCCTATGAAAATCTCATGTTTTGATATTTAAGTTTTAAAGTATTTATCTCTTAAAGATTTCTCCGGTTCAGTGTACATTCGATAGGTTTGAATGCATGATAAATAATCTAAATTTAAATTTAAAATCTAAAATTGTGCATATGCCTTGTACATCCAATCAGAATAGTTTATACACTAGTAATAAACTTCTTCTTCTTCTTCTTCTTCTTTTTTTCTTTTTTTTTTATGTTGTGCCGTAGGACAAGTATCTCAAGCTGAAGGGATGGCTTACCCTAAAATTCAAACATTATTATCTATCCCTGATTTGTGTAAACTTTTGCACGTAAAATTTAAACTTTTTCGGACAACTAAACACTTAATAATCTTATTGAATCGTTTAAATAACTCGATAAAGTGGTCATTGCATTCCAAACTTACTTAGGCCCCGTTTGAGGTTGCGGTGCTTATGGTAAAAAAGTACTTTTAGGTGCTAAAAATATTTTTACAGTATTTGGTGAATATCATCCCATAAAATTAGGAGTAGAGTTTTTAGTGTTAAAATACTTTTAGCAAATGCTAAAATTTGGTGCTTTTAGAGTAGTTTTTGTAATTAAAAAATAAAATATCAAATTTAATTTTGTTATCCTATTTTATGAACCAAATAGAGAGATAAACACTTTTAAAAATTTTCAAATTACACATTATTCAATACAATAAGTATTTATTGAATTTTGCCTCCAAACAATATATTTAAAAACACTCAAACAGTCAATAAGTACTTTTTATTAAAAGTTTTATTGAACCTATTGAAATGAACCAAAAAAGTCATTAGATGGTCAACTTTATTTACGCAAAATATATATTTCTATATTTTAACAGGATAATGTTGAGTGAAAGAATATGTGCTTCTGCACACAATATCGTCTAGAATCAGACTCTTTGTTTAACTCAGCTCGAGTTGTCTAACAATGGACGGAACTACTTGTCTAGACGATACGACAGTAGTATCTTTTAGTCCACACGCAATAAGATTTCCTAAGTATTCAAAAAGAGAAAATATATACAGTGAATTGTTTTAAGTTGAAATTTTTGGTGATTCCTATACATATATAAAAAGCACTTTGAATAACACTGTTTACAAGTTTTCATCCGACTACTATATGAGTATTTCAGTAATTCCACATGTTGTTCTTAAATTAGTTGTAAATATTGTACAAGTATGCTATACTTTTATTAAAAAGAATTTTGGATGGCACTGTTTACAAGTGTTCATCCGCCTCCCGCATGGGTATTTTAGTAATTCCACATGTTGTTCTTAAATTGGTTATAAAAATTAGGGTTATTATCACTTTACCCCCTTAAACTATATCACTACTATCAATTTACCTCCTAATATTACCTTTTAGTCATTTCACCTCTATAAGTAATTCAACTCAATACGTTAAAAAATTTTGGACAAAAATACTCTTATATTCTATAGCATTATCACATTATTATTATCATTTTATCCCTTGAAATTATAGTGATACAATCGTTTTAATTTCTAACATTATTTTCTAGGCATTTTATCTCATCGTTAATCTAACTAGTATGGTCAAAATTTTTAAATATATTTACCCTTTTTATATATAATTAAAAATAAAAAAGTTGAAATGATTATTCTTCCTTGTTTTTTCACTTTAAGAGATCCAAAAATATTAAAATAAAAGGGTTTTCTCAAAATTTTCAAATTATTGAATATTTAAATTTGTAACTTTAGCCTTTATATTCACCAATCATTAATAATCTTTAAGAATTTAAGCATAGACAACTAAGGCAATGCATACGGAGTTTGTAGTTGAATGGAGTTATTGTAGCCTTTTTTGTTTTATTTTTTAAATTGAAAATGGTTAATCCTGTTTTCATTATCAATTCCATATTCAATTTGAAAGTGAAATGAATTTGGTTATCTCCAATTTAGAATTAAAATAGATTTAAATATTTACAAATCAAATAACCAAATTGATCGAATTTGTATCGTTGCTCACCCTACGTTTTGGTCCGATGGCGGTTTAGTCGCATCCTATTCCAATGATTCAGTTGAATCTGTCCTCTACTTCGTAGGTTAGTAGTAGTTGTAAATAAGCAACAATTGACTAAAAAAAAAGGACAACAGCGTCCGGAAAATGGAGATGGAAGAGAGAAAAATGAAGAGCACAATATGACGGGATACTGGATGTGAAATTCTCTTTTTTGGGCACAATTCTCTCAGATAAATAAAAAAAAAACAAATACTGTCCAACTAATATGAAAGTTGTTTTACTTTTTCATGTCTAGTACTAGTCATATAGAAATCAAAAACCAATTGTATTCGTATTCTTAGTTGAAACTTTAAAAACACACAATTTGTCATTTTTTGGAGTGTTAATGTAAACCCTAAAATTGTGTTTTTTCAAAATTGTTTTTAAAGTGTTACTGTAGACTCCAAAAAGAAAAAAAAAATTCAAAAAAAGTGTTGTGTCAAACGGACTCCATTTCGTCAGAGACAACATGTTTGACTAGTTTAATTGCAAAACGACATTTCGTTTTCTCGTAGATAAGGAAACAACTTGACAATTCCGCTACTGATAATATCCTTAAATTCATTGATCACTCGTTATTTGCCTAGATGGTGATGTTATCTTGTTGATATGTGAGAGGCGCAAGAACGATTGCTGAAGTTTCTTCTCTGCATAATTTAGAGTCCAAAATTGGGATCTAAAAAAAATGTATGGTATCGACAATAAATTATACATAGTTTGCGACGTGATGTGTGAAACTTGCAAAATAGGAATCCTTATCTATATATTTTGTATAAAGTGATTAGCAATGATAAATATATATTGTACAATCTTTAGGAAGCTATGTACGCGTCTCCCTTGAATGTGTGCCATGTCAACGTCCAACCAACAACATTTTGCTATAGATGTTCAATATTGTATCCTAGTGATATGTTGACCTAATCAATATCCAAATAATTTCTCCATAATAGCCATCAAAGAACAATCACTAATCTGAGTTGATGGCTTCTTTAACTGCAGTTTTCTGGATATTTTTCCTTGTTACTGTAACATCTGAAACTGCTGTAGCTCAGCCTGATGACTTGAATATGATACCGTTGGGTTCTTCACTTTTTCCTGTTACTCAGCCCACAGCTTGGTACTCTCGTTCTAAAAGATTTGCGTTCGGATTCTTCCAAACTGGAGAAGGTTACAAAGTCGAAATTCGGATTGTTGGCAGTGGAAATGGTATCACAGTTTGGACTTTCAACCGAGATGAACCGGCAGTATCTTCAAATGCAACACTTGATTTTGTCAACGGCAAGCTTCAGCTGAAACATGGTAATCAATATCAAACTATTGCTGATCATCCTTCAAAATCTGCCCTGTCTGCTTGCTTGCTTGACTCCGGAAACTTTGTGCTGTACGATGAAAATCATGCCTTACTATGGCAGAGTTTTGAGTTTCCTACCGACACAATTTTAGGTGGCCAGATACTTTACAGTGGGAAAGAACTCATCTCTAGCCTTTCTCAAGATGACCAATCGTCTGGCCTATTCCATCTGAAAATGGAGTATTCTGGAAATCTTGTTGCTTATCGTGTAGATGTCACTTCAGAGACCTATTGGGGCCCGTTTAATGTGAGCTACAGCAATAATAGTCAGCTGATTCTTGATAATTTTACCGGAACATTGTCTCTGATTGAACCCTCTGATTCTTCTCTCGTGCAAGTATTGACTTCAGCAATTTCACGGATCAGGGGAAATATTTACCGGGCAACACTTGGTTATGATGGAAACTTTAGATTGTATACTCACAGCTTTGATGCAGTGACATTACAATTTAAGATGAGGACAGAATGGGAAGCTATTGATGATCTCTGCGACATAAAGGGCATCTGTGGCTTTAACAGCTATTGCACTAGTAAAGATATGGAGTGGAATTGCAGTTGTATACCAGGGTTCAACTTCATCAGGGACCTCAGCAGCCTGTCCATTAATATCTACGGCTGTGAGAAGAATTTCACCGGTGGAATGTGCATTAATGGCAAGGAAGATGCAGCACGTAACAGCATGACTCCTGTGAGCATATTAGGGGAAGATCGACCTTATTTTCAAGAGTATCAGGGCAACCAAGATGATTGCATGAAGTCGTGTTCAGAGGACTGTGATTGTGATGCAGCTACATATTCCGACTTGCATTGTTCTAGATACAGGCTTCCTCTCATGTATCTCAGGAATGCTACTTTTACATTATCTATTGCTTTTATCAAATCACCAAATCCTCAAAATGATCATCTAAAGAAGGAGGTGTCTTGGTTAACATTTTTTGCAATGAGTCTAAGCTTTGTTACATATTCATCCGTTGTACTCGCATGTTTTGGTATCTTCATGTTTAAGTTCCATGTTCTAAAGTACAAGAAGCTGCTGCTTCAGACCAGAACAACTGGCTTAATCAAAGAATTCACGCTTCAAACGTACACCTATAATGAGCTAAAGAAGGCGACAAAGGGATTCAGGCAAGAATTAGGCAAAGGAGCATTTGGTGCAGTTCACAGGGGGAGTTTTGATAAAGGCAAAAGTTTTGTTGCAGTGAAAAGATTAGAGAAGGTAGTGGAAGAAGGTGAAAGAGAGTTCCGAGCTGAAATGAGGGCAATAGGCAGGACTCGTCACAGAAATTTGGTTCAATTGCTCGGATACTGTATTGAAGGACCGAAAAGAC